ATTCGTCGACTATTCGCGGACTATTCGCACTATTCGTCGACTATTCGCGGACTATTCGCACTATTCGTCGACTATTCGCACTATTCGCACTATTCGCTTCACTATTCTAGTTTTATCAATTGCCCAACTTTACATGCTCGTTGAGATCCGACATTACAAGAGTAGCATTTTCCAGTTCTTGTTTTAAGTAGACATTTTCCGCTTTTAGCTGTACATTTTCATCTTTAATAAAAGAGATATGCTCTCGTGACAATGTTAATGCAAAGCTGTCGGCATCCCGAAATTTGCATACTTCGAGAGATATATCATCAATTTTGCGTTTTAGTTTCTGCTCAATTTTCTCGATTTTTTCCAAGATCATTGTCAGATCGTCTGCAGTAATTTTGGCTGAGACATCGGCTTGACTTTCCAATGATTTGTCCTCTCCATCAAACTTAATTTGGTATGGAGAGTCTTCTTGATTTTCAAAGCTACTATCTGATGTATTCATGTCATGGTCTATTGCTTCCTTCGCTAATTCTCGCAAACAAGTTTTAATTTTTTCGTCTTTACTCCCGTTAAGTGTAAGTGAATGACTATCAGAGTACCATCTTACTATTAACTGGTCTGCAACTTCCAATTTTCTACAGCTACCACCCGGTTTTGACCAACTTGTCTGGCTCTTCAGGATATCATCAAATAGCGTTTGTAAAGCTTCAAATTCTCCAGACCATTTAAAACTTCCTTTGTTGGTAATAATCAGACTTCGACTAAACTCTTCTACGTTAGCCGAACCAACGTTAAGTGTGTAATGCTTTTCAAAATCAATAGATTCTCTCACACTTTCATCAGCCATATAGCTTTTTAGCGCAGCGAAAAAAAAACAAACACGTCCGACACGTACACTTGACTGGCTCAACACCAACACGGTTAGTTTTCTTCAAATCATTGTTTAGTTACATTGACGTCAATATCGATAACTATGTGTCGTTTGTGGGCCATGGTCGTACTAGACTGAGTCATATGTCAAGATATACCCTTCAAAGTAAACTCTGTAAAACTAATACTTTCCAGTCTTCATACTACAATCGTGTTGTAAAGATTTGGAACACAGTGTGCCAAGAAATCTCACCTGACATTTTCCGTAATCCAAACTCTTTTAAACACTAT